AATGAACAGATATACTCCACAAAATCACCTTTTGTATCCTAATAATTTGAAATAATATCTTTTGTGCTTTTACTAAAACACGAAATTTATGTGAATCGCCCGCACTTAGCGTAGGCTGAAAAGCTAGTCATGTTTATTGAGAAAAAAACAGCCTTGCTTTGCTTGTGGGTAGACCTGTCAAACGGGTGGGTCGGGTCGAGTTTAGGTCGGATCGAAAATGGTCCGACCCAAATAGACCTATTTAAACCGTTTTGATCCAATTTCATGTAATGCAAATTTTATGACACATACTCGACCCAACCTATACCCAACTCATACTCGACCCAACCCATATTTCTAAAACACTTCCATATTTAACTCAACATAGAAAATTCATACCCAAAGTGAGATGCGAGTGCGAAGTGAGTGAGCGGGAGATTGAGTGAGGGCGAGAGAGATGAGTTGGGTTTTAAATAAGTTGTAAATCTATTTACAATCCATTTAACACTCATACTATGTTAATACCCATTTATGACCTATGTACTGAATATAACTAACTTATTTATGACACATTTACCGATATCTGGGTTAAGAAATTGATTTATGACCCATTTTGACAGGTCTACTTATGGGGTTAGCTTGTCCATTGAGAAATCTAGCTCATTTTTCTCGAAATAGCTGAATGGAGCAACATAGAAACCGATATGTTACTGAAAATATCATCTCTTTTCATGGAGCCAACTATATATGTTTTTCAGGTAACTTTTCTTTCCTTTCTTTTTTTTTTTCTTTTTCTTGCATTCGAGACTTGGACTCAGAAAATATAAATCAACTGTTCAAGTGATAATTAAATCGCTATGAAAAAGATATCTAAGCAAATCACGCGCAAATTGTCTGACCATCGAGTATAGAGAAACTAGCCATATAAATGGGAGGTTAAAAAGGTAAGGCGTGATAGATATCTAGTTGATTTCGGACAATCTATTATATATAATTAAAGTCAGAGTTGAGAGAGTGTTTGGCTCTTATGTGCGCCGTTTGGCACTTCATTTTGAGTCTATGATTGCCATGTGGCTCACATCAACCAATAGATTTTTAGCTTAACAATTTGTCATTTATTAGATTGTATCTCTTATTGGATTTAAATTTCTAGAAATTAGATAAAAATAAATTGTATGAAGATTTTAGACCAAATGAGCGGTATGCCTCTCTTTTTCCTGAAGATGTCAGCGCCACCATCTCTTTGCCAAAATTTCAACGTACTGAGGTCATTAGAGTGCTCAAAGGCCTGAACGATTTTAAAGCTCCGGGTCCAAATGGATACAACAGTCTATTCTACAAGAAAGCTTGGCCCATCATAGGGCGTGATATAAAGGATGCTATTATGGAATTCTTCTCCTCAAAAAGAATGTTGAAAGCAATCAATTCAACCCTGATATCACTAGTGCCAAAAATACGGAATCCATCCCGTCTCACGGATTTAGACCCATCTCTTGCTGCAATGTTCTATATAAGATCATTTCCAAACTAGTGGCAGAAAGAATCAATTGTTTCTTGCCTTCGATTGTTGGCCTCAACCAAACTGCTTTCATCTCGGGTTGACAGATATCGGAAAATATTCTGCTTTGTCAGGAACTCCTTCATAATTACCATAAGGGCAATAAAGGTAAACGTGTGGCAATAAAAATTGACCTCATGAAAGCTTTTGATATGGTAAAATGGGAAGCAATTCTTGGTGTTCTATAGGCTATCAACACATCGCAACATTTGCTTGACCTGATAGCCCAATGCATAACTACACCAAGGTTTTCGATAAACCACAACGGCGAATAGATTGGATACTTTGCTGGTTCAAATGGACTAAGACAAGGCGACTCACTCTCTCCTTACCTGTTTGTCTTAGTTATGGAAATTCTTAGCAGGATCATTATTGAGAAAGTTGCAGCATCTTCCTTCAAGTATCATTGGCACTGCAAAAAGGAAAAAATTACTCACTTATGCTTCGTTGATGACCTGTTTCTTTTTGCTCACGGAGATCCCGATTTAGTCATTTGCCTTATAGATGCACTTGGTGATTTTGCAAATCTCACAGGACAACAGTTCAATCCAGATGAATGCAAAATCTTTTTCTCTGGGCTAACTGAGATAGAAAAGGACATTATATTGGATCACACGCCTTTCCCCATTGGCACCCTTCCTATTAGATACCTTGGAGTCCCGCTTGTCACAAGATGACTCACGCACGCAGATTGTAAGAGTCTAACGGATAAAATTTTCAAAAAAATAGAAGGCTGGGGCATGCAACATATTAGCTATGCCGGTCGTCTCCAGTTGGCCAAATCGGTACTTATTTCCATCTGTACTTTTTGGATGCAAATGTTTTTATTGCCAAAGCAAACTATATATGAAGTCGAAAAGAAGATTAGAAAATTCTTATGGGTTGGAAATACAGAAGGCCATGGATCTCATAAAGTTGCTTGGGATGTTGTTTGCTCGCCAAAAAAGGAAGGAGGACTAGGGTTGCTTGATCTCAAATTATGGAATAAAGTTTTGCTTGGCCGCATGCTTTGGAAACTCATAAATTGTCCGTCATCTTTCCTATGGAGTAAATGGGTTCATAGTGCAAAATGTAGAGGAAATCCGATTATGCAGCTTGAAATCAAGGGTACTATGGCATGGAGTTGGCGTTGTATCCTTCAATTACGACCGGCTTTAGCTTCAGCCATATCTAAGCCAATATATTGTTGCCAAGAGATATACGATGAAACCAGGAGGGCGGGACCAACTGTGGAATGGTGCCAGTTGATTTGGAAAGGCGGTATTAGCAAGCACAACTTTATCGGCTGGCTAGCATGCAGGGACAGACTACCCACAGCAGAGATCGTATCACGTTGGAAGCCTGAAATAGATAGCCATTGCAATTTCTGTCTATTTGATATGGAAAGTAGAGATCATCTATTCTTCCAGTGTACCTGGACTAAAAGCATTTGGCGTACTATCCTTGCACAATATGGAATCCTGCGGTATATAGGAGGATGGAATGAATAACTCGAATGGATGATAAGTGCTACCAAAGGCAAGGATCTGGCAGCTATACTTCTCAAGGTATCTTTCCTAGCGACTATTTATTGCATCTGGATGGAGCGTAATCATAGACGTTTCCAACACAAGTCACATGATGCCCCCATCATCTTGGCTAAAGTCCGTAAACTTGTCAGAGGGCGAGCTTCACACTACAAAATTTTTAGACCTTCTAGGGCAAATGTAATATTGGCTAATATATGGAGACTCCCACACTTCATTTTTTCGTGATCATAGTCCTCTTGTAATGCTGGGGTACGTTTTGTACGTCAATTTATGAATGATACTTATATTTCACACCCAAAAAAAAAAAGATTTTATCTCTTATTGGGTTTGAACTTGACAAAAACGATGAATTAAAGCATTTTTTTTTATCATATTCTATCATCTCCCAATTTCAATGTTTTATATATGTATTAAACATGAATGCTAAAAAAATGGGTAAAGAGAAAGTATATCATTATTGTAGCGGTTATTAATTTTAAACCTGGAAAAATATATATAATAGAAAGTATTTAATATTATACTCTTCATTAACATGGCTTATATTGAACGTAATTTCTTAAATGTACTTATAAACAGCAAAATTATGAGCCAATCATGAAATTATGCAAAATTATATTGTTCAATAAATTGCAAGTGTAATTGTCCAATCAAATTAGGATATTTATTCATGAGCAGAATAGTTAAACTTGAGTAAATATTGGTTGATTGACATTTATCCATATTAAATTCAAGATGTATTGGATATTTATTTAAATTCAATGGAAAATTTGGTCAAAATTCTCTATAAATAGGAGGCCTCTCAATTCATTTTCGAAAGAATAGATGTAGACTTTAAATTTTATAGACTTTCTATTAATAAGTTCCTGAAAATTAATAAACTGCAAAAACGCAAAAACCGATCGAATTTAGGTCATTGCGATCTCTATCAAAATTTTTGTCATCAAGAACTCAGTAACATCAATACCTCGACCATTTTCGATTAGAGACCAAGCCTTCAAGGTCCTATCTGGTTCATGAAAAGGAATCAAAGATCGTGCTATCTTATTAGAGATGAAGCTGTCAAGACCCTTGAATTGTGCTACTATAAATGGAATACCACATCTTAATCTTACGCCTTCAAAAAGTAAGATATTCTTCTATAAAATATAAAATATTGCCATTGTACGAATCTCTGTTTTTTTTTTTTTATCTTCCATAGTATCTCATTTTAATGGAATACTAATGATTCGAAAATATGCGTATAGACATGCATATCCGTGCTCCTAAGCAACTAGTATGTAGTGTACCTTGAAGAAGAATATGCACATAGAATAGACAATGTCTTTTGTTCCCGCTTTGCATTTTCCGACAACCTAAAATGTATTAATTATTCCATCGTGAAACCTCCATACAACAGTTGTTGGGTGACTCATGTGTAAAAGAATCTGATCTTTCGGTTGGCATAGTATAATTCTCATCCTTTCCCTTACGTGTATGTGATAAGTCATCGTGAGATGACACTTTTGGAATAATTCCTTCCTTTCTTTTGTCAATTCATTAATAATTTGAACATTCTTAGAAACCAGCAACTTAATAGTGTTTGATAATATTTCTACTTCTCTATTTTTCTGTTCTTTTGTTTGGAGGAACAAAAAAAATATAGAAATTCATTTGGTAACGTTAGTTCATTTTTCTATTTCTCGAAATAGAAAAGTGATCGAAAAATAGATTTGGAACATAAATAAGAAGTAGTTCCTAGAAACAAAAATAAAAATAGAAAGAGAAACCTAAAATTTACTTACTTCTTCTTCCCCTTTCAAGCCGCGGCTTTAGCTCATCTTCCATTCTCCGTCCTTTGCAAACCGTCTCAAAGCACCGGCCACCACCCTGTCACTTGCGGCGAAGCCCCGGCCAGTCGAAAGCCGCCGGTACGCCTTTCTGTTCTCATCTCTGTTTGATACTGTGTGGCGATTGTGGCGCTGGCGACCCTCGCCGCCGTCGACCGAGGGCCGCCCGTGCCCAGATCTGCGAGGGCGACCCTCGCTCGACAGCGGCGAGGGCCGCTCGCGCCCAGATTACGCGCTGTGTTTCTTGATTGTGAACAGTTGTACTTTCATGTCCAGTGTCGGTGATGGCGAAGTGTAGATCGTTTCTCTTCCCGTTGGTAAATTTGTTTGCAGTGTTAGCCGCAGAAAGAATTTTAGGATTTAGTTAAATTTTGGTTCCGGGGTTCGAATTCAGTAGGAGTTAGTTGAGTGTGGATTAAAAAATTGCAGAACTCCTATTTTTCTGTCATTTTGTCCTACTGATATGTGCATTATATAGGCGAAGTATTGGATTCCTCATAGTCGAATCTCCAATGAAGAATTGCGAGAAGTTTTGTTGCAGCTATGAATGTTAGCCGTAGACCGTAGTGATTCCAGTAGAATTAGTTTACACGGCCACTGAAAATGGTTGTAAGTAGTGAGTCGAGCTAAGAGGCAGGTGATTGGTGCTAACTTTGTGGTGAAGAGATGCTCATCAAGATATAGAAATAGCTGTCAGTAAGTTTGTACTCGTCATTCCGTGATGGCTCTCCCGTGGATATAGATTTGACTTTTTTTATACAAGCAACATTGGCGGGGATATTTCGATGTTCTTACCTTTGTTAATTTGATCTCAGGGATTAGATTATGTAATTGTTGAAGCTCGGAGGAATCGGGTGCGAGTAATCCTGAGCTTAGTCAACAATTTGAACGCTTTTGGAGGTAAAGCACAGTATATCAGATGGCACCAGAAGCTGGAGAGAATGTCTCTTCATCGGCAGATTCGTTTTTCTCGCATCCCACGATAAAGGAGTGCTACAAGGCTTATATCAAGGTAGACGCTGCTTTCATTTCTCTGCTTCATGCTAGGCATTAGAAGCGGATGAACGTCGTTCTTGTGCCACAGTATTTTGGCTGCACAACGAAGGCATATGATTGCTTGTATAACTACCCTTCATTGTGCAGGCGGTAGTAGCAAGAAAAAACTCCATGACTGGAGTTCATTACTTTGATGAACCAGCTATTTTTGCTTGGGAGCTCATGAATGAACCTCGCAGTGTATCTGAGTCATCTGCGCCGCTTCTTCAGGTAAATTTCAGAATCTCTCTCTCTTCTTTTGGTCATTGTCACCGTTATTTCAGCTATGCAGACTATGGGATCAGAGGAAGGGGTTCGGTTAATGTTTCTAAAATCTTGTCATGTCATGTCATTCCCTGAAGCTTAACATTTATGGAAAAAATCATGTAATTGTCATTCTCATCATATATCTTAAGATTTAGAAGACTAATTCCTTGGATGTTTTCAGGCTCATGTTTCTTGATGTGATCCTATCGACTGAAGAACACACCTTATTTACTATGCAAAAGAAATCCCTAAATATCTCCTAGATATTCCCATCTAGCATACCGACAACTGATACATTTTGTTATTTATTGCTGTTAGAAACAGGCGCGGAAAAAACAACTACAGAACACAGGGATTTACGTGGTTCGATCACAAGGTGATCTATGTCCACGGGCGAGGCAAGACAAGATTCCACTATAATCAAAGAGAGTAGTTTAAGAAGTCGAAACAACGACAAAAGCTCACGGCTCATAAAACTCTCCGAAAACAAAATTCTCTCACTATCCAATGAAAAACCCTAGCCGCAGATATAAATAGTGCTCCCAAAAAATCTCAATTTTTCTCCACTTTCGGGTCGCACAAAAAATATGTCGGGTCGGGTGATAAACCGGACCGAGTACATAAAATTCAAGACATATTTAACAAATCTCCACCTTGGCTTGAATTTCCCAAAATAAAACAATCAAGAAGCCGAACACATTCTCTCGGCATCCCTAAGCCTACGTGAGCTAACTCGGTGTAGGAAACAAGGGCTGCAACGAAAGAACATATCCACTTCCAAAAACAAATGTAGAACTGTCATTTACCTCGCCACCAAAGCCCCACAAGGGGCAAACTCAACCAAGCATGCCAATCAAGTTCAAGCAATGCTTAAACTTGTTGGCGGGCTAACTTGGTCAACATATCAAGGATTGTCGCTATTCCAATTTTCTTTACCGTCATATTTCTCTCATATCGCCTCTCGAATAAAGTGATACCTAACATTGATGTGCTTAGTCCTCTCATGATATGCTTGATTTCTAATCAAGTATATAACACTTTGATTGTCGCAAAAGACAACTGAATTGTCTTCCTGCTGGAGCCCAAGTTCCTGAACAAGATTCCTTAACCATATACCTTCTTTCACTACTTCTGCTGCTACCATATACTCTGTCTCTGTAATAGACAAAGCAATTGTCGACTGTGAGGTTGACCTCCAACTAATAGCCGAACTAGACAGTGTGAAAAGATAGCCAGTCAAAGATCTCCTCTTATCGAGATCACCTGCAAAATCGGAATCCACAAATCCCACAACCGAGGTCTTGTTGGGCTGTTTCTATCAAACACTAGGCCCAACTCTGCGGAGCCTCTAAGATACCTAAGTATCCATTTCACTTTGCCAATGGACCTTTCCAGGATGCGCCATATATCTACTAACCACACTAACGCCACTGCGCAATGTACGGACGAGTGCATACCATAGCATACATAATGCTACCGACTGCACTGGAGTATGGGACACGAGACATCGCAGCCTCCTCGACCTCTGATTGAGGTGAATGTAGAGCTGAGAGTCTAAAATGGGATGCCAACGGTGTACTCACGGGCTTAGCGTTTTGCATGCCAAACCTATCAAGTACCCTCTCAATATAACTTATCTGCGAGAGATATAACTTCCCTCCTTTCCTATCCCACTGAATCTCCATTCCTAAGATCTTCTTGGCAAGACCCAGATCTTTCATCTCGAACTCCTCACTGAGCCGTTTCTTCAAGATCAACACTTCTGACATGTTCTTTGCAGCAATGAGCATGTCATCCACGTATAAGAGAAGATAGACAAAGGATCCATCTGAACCCTTTCTGAAGTAGACACAACTATCATAGTTGCTCCTATGATAACCGCTCCCTATCATAAAGCTGTCGAATCTCTTATACCACTGTCTTGGTGACCATACAAGGATTTCTTCAATTTACAAACATGATCTTCCTTGCCTTCTACATAATAGCCCTCGGGCTGGGCCATATAAATAGTTTCCCCAAGCTCGCCATGCAGAAAAGTAGTCTTCACGTCAAGTTGCTCAAGCTCTAAGTCAAATTGAGCAACTATAGCCAGCAACACACGAATGGAAGTATGTTTTACCACAGGGGAGAAAACTTCGTCATAATCAATTCCCTCCTTCTGGTTGTAGCCTTTAGCTACGACTCGAGCCTTGTATCTAGCATTTTCAACACCTGGAATTCCTTCCTTTTTCTTGTAGACCCATTTACACCCGATGGCTCTTTTTCCCTTAGGCAACTGCACCAAGTCCTAAGTCTGGTTCTTGTGAAGTGATTCAAGTTCCTCAACCATAGCAACAGCCCATTTCTCGATTACGTGCAAGTAACAGCTTCCGTATAGGTAAAAGGTTCCCGAATACCCATATCTTCTGCTGTCGTAAGAGCATAAGCCACCGATCGAGAGAACCCATATTTACGAGGAGGCAGGGTGCGCCTCCTTTCTCTGCCATGTAGCAATAAAGTATGGCTGCTCCACCTCATCTGACTTCCTCATCGAACTTGAATCAACAGGAGCATTTTGCTCGTTCAAAACATTCTGAGAGGTCTTTTCTGGAAGCTCCACCTGAACCTTCACCTCATTCATATCACTCTTATGTTTTCCTGACCACATCTCAAAAGGAGTCTTGCATTCTATTGCTGTTGAAGGAGAGCGATTAACTAGATAACAAGCCGTGTTAACAGCTTCAGCCCAAAAATCCTTTTCCATGCCAGCATTAGAGAGCATGCATCTTGCTCTCTCTCAATAGAGTTCTGTTCATACGTTCGCCACTCCATTCTGCTGTGGAGTGTGCCTAAGCTTGTACGGTGTCGAACAATACTGCATCGCACAAAATTCATTAAAATCGGCACCACAGAACTCAAGACCATTATCAGTCCTAAGAAGTTTGATATTCTTCCTTGTCTAATTCTCAACAAGAGCTTTCCACTTCTTGAAGGTTTCAAAAACATCACTTTTTCTTTTTAGAAAGTAAACCCAAACCTTCCTGGAATAATCGTCAATGAACGTCACAAAGTAAAGAGCACCACCCTTAGATGGAACCTGTGCTGGTCCCCATAAATCGGAATGGATATAGTCGAGTGTGCTCTTTGTCGAATGCGTCCCCATACTGAATCTAACTCTGCATTGCTTGCCAAGAACATAATGCTCACAGAAATCTAGCGAGGTCATCTGCTCCCCACAAAGTAAACCACGTTTACTCAAAACTGACATGCCACGCTAACTCATGTGGCCCAAACGCATATGCCACAATTTCGTTCTATCATTATCAGAAACGGAATTGCTTGTGCCAATTGAAGGACCCATAACTGTGCTACCCTGCAAATGATACAAGTGATTCACCTTGCTTCCTTTCATCACAACCAGATTGCCTTTTGTAACTTTGAGAACTCCACCTCCACCTCCACCTGAGTACACACACCCAATGGAATCCAAACTGCTCAACGAGATAAGGTTTCTCTTCAAGTTTGGTATATGTCTTACTTCAGTCAAGGTTCTTACTGCTTTGTCGTGGCACTTAATCTGAATAGTACCAATACCCACGACTTTCATACAGCATCATTCCCCATCAAGACTGATCCACCATTCAATGGCTCGTATGTGGTGAACCATTCCCTATTTGGGCATATGTGATATGATGCTCCCGAATCCATTATCCAAACATCATTGGAGAAATTAACAGCGGAGCGTGCCGTAAGAACACCGTCGACGCATTAGACTCATTTTCGTTTGCAACATTCACCGAATCTTGTCTTTGACCATGCTGCTTATCCTTTTGCTTGAGCGAAGGACAATCTGACTTGTAATGTCCCTTTTTGTGACAATAGTAGCACTCAACGTTCATCTTATCTGCAGGTGGCTTAGATTTTGAACGACCAACATATTTCCCTTGGAAAGCTTTATCCTTGTTCTTGGTCCTGCCTCTCACAAACAAACCATCTACTTTGTTTTCACTAGTATTCCCATTCAATTTTGCTCTCAGTTCTGCAGAATTCAAAGATGCTATAACATCCTCCAAAGTTATGGATTCACGTCCATAAAGCATCGAGTTCACAAAATTCTTGTATGAGGCAGGCAGTGAACATAACACGATCAAAGCTTGATCTTCATCCTCGAGTTTAATATCTAAATTTTTCATATCCAGAACAATTTTATTAAACTCATCCAAGTGTTCCTGAACATACGTACCTTCACGCATCTTTAGGGTATAAAGACGCTGCTTCAAATAAAGTCTCGATGTTAGAGATTTCTTCATATAGAGACTTTCCAGTTTTTTCCAGAGACCGGCCGCTGTTTCTTCATCGGCGACTTCTCGCAAAAACCTTATCATCTAGAGACAACTGGATCGCGCTATGCGCCTTCTCGTCCATCTCTTCAATCTCAGCCGAGGTCATATCGTCTGGATATTTTCCGTCCAGCGCCCTAACCATACCCTCTCGCCTCAATAAAGCCTTCATCTTTATTCTCCATAATCCGAAGTTGTTCTGTCCGTCAAAAGATGAGATCTGAAACTTCAAAGATGCCATCTCAAAGAACCCTAGAATCAAACGCTACTCTGATACCAATTGTTAGAAACAGACGAGGAAAAAACAACTACAGAACACAGGGATTTACGTGATTCGATCACAAGGTGATCTATGTCCACGGGCGAGGCAAAACAAGATTCCACTATAATCAAAGAGAGTACAGTTTTCAGAAGTCGAAACAACGACAAAAGCTCACGGCTCACAAAACTCTCCGAAAACAAAATTCTCTCACTATCCAATGAAAAACCCTAGCCGCAGTATAAATAGTGCTCCCAAAAAATCTCAATTTTTTCTCCACTTTCGGGTCGCACAAAAAATATGTCGGGCCGGGTGATAAACCGGACCGAGTACATAAAATTCAAGACATATTTAACAATTGCTATTTCATGCTGATTTCCATGAATGAGAAACAATTTTGTTGTTTGTTATTAGCTCATCCTTTTTCATTGTGTATCACACGTACTCTCATCCTTTCTGATACTTCTGTCCTGATCTTGGTGTTGGCTGTGTAACAGTCTTGGATCACTGAGATGGCTGTGCATATCAAGAGCGTAGACCAAAGACACCTTGTGACTATTGGAGTTGAGGGATTTTATGGGTTGCAAACGCAAGAAAAAAGTGCAGTTAATCCTGGAGAATGGGCATCTTCACTTGGAACAGATTTCCTTAAAAACTCGGCTATTCACGACATTGATTTTGCTTCTGTCCATGCATATCCTGATGGTTAGTAAACTTCAGCCCGGGGTGATGCTTGTAGAAACTAAAATCACTTCAATAATTGCTTTAATCATCACTAGAAGACGCTACCACTTGAAGTTAGTCGAAATTAGAATGCTTCTCCTGATACTGCTAGCTGTGCTTTTTGGTTATAGAATGATTATCACGTCTAATTAACAGCATGAAAAGGAGTGGAAATCCCAAAAGCCTCCATGTAATTGTTTTAAAGGAGCTATAGCCAAAGACTCTTTGCTCTTTACGCAAATTTTGCATTTCTATTTTCTGCTTTACTTTTAAATTCTTTGCTGTTGATTGTAGGATCCCGGAGGCCGGTTTGGACCAAAAAGTGAAATATCTTTCGCACTGGGTGGATGCTCACATACGTGATGGGGACGACAGGCTGAAGAAACCGGTTCTTTTCACAGAAGTTGGGTAATCGTTGCATCAGAATCAACAAGAGTCATATCAAAGAGATATATTCTTCAAGACGGTTTATGACAAAATATATGAATCAGCAAAGAAGAGGCAAGCTGGAGCTGGAGCCTGGATTTGGCAATTGTTAGTTGATGATATGCAAGGATACGCTGACCAATTTTCGTTCGTGGCCTGGAATCACCTTTCAACTTATAAGTTGATCATGGAACAATCATGCAGGCTGAGGAGAATGTTTGTGAAAGAAGAGACGAATAGAAATATCGCCATAATGATCCATGTCCCTAAACTGGATCTTGACAGCTATTATGTATGAGTTAGAGCCAGTTGAAGTACCATTTGAATTTTGAATGGGAGGGACGAATTCGCGCGAGTTGCTGCAATTGTGATTGTGTTCTTGAAATGGTGGGAAGAGAGGTTAAAAGGGACCGATGCAATGATGCTTCTTCCTTGTGAATGCCGATGCGGGGAAAGTACGAAATCGTGTGATTTGAGGTTGTCAGTTAAAAGGGTACACAATTGAGAAGCTACTTGTAGAAGTTCGAATTTTGCAGTGTCTCACATGAAATTGCAAGGTTGTGCATCTCTATTGCCTCCATTGATAAAAAATTTATGTTGGTAGTCTTTCCTTCATAGGCTGATCCAACACTTGTACCCCCAAGTCAAATGTTAGTGAATATTTGAGTGTTCATTCTCGTCCCAATTGATAGACCTTTTTTTACCCTGTCACCAACATTTGAGTGACATACTGAAATTGTATATTTTTTTTTTTTTGTGAAATGTAAGTACCATTCATAAGTTGACGTACAAAAGCTTAGGAGCATACCCCAGCATTACAAAGAGGACTATAATCACGAAAAAATAGAGTGTGAGAGTCTCCATATATTAGCCAATATTACATTTGCCTTAGAAGGTCTGAAAGTTTTGTAGTGCGAAGCTCGCCTTATGACAAGTTTACGAACTTTAGCCAAGATGATGGGGGCATCATGTGACTTGTGTTGGAAACGTCTATGATTACGCTCCATCCAGATGCAATAAATGGTCGCTAGGAAAGATACCTTGAGAAGTCTAGCTGCCAAATCCTTGCCTTTGGTAGCACTTATCATCCATTCGAGTTCTTCATTCTATTCTCCTATATACCGCAGGATTCCGTATTGTGCAAGGATAGTACGCTCAAATGCTTTTAGTCCAGGTGCACTGGAAGAATAGATGATCTCTGCTTTCCATATCAAATAGACAGAAATTGCAATGGCTATCTACTTCAGGCTTCCAACATGATACGATCTCTGCTGTGGGTAGTCTATCCCTGCATGCTAGCCAGCTGATAAAGTTGTGCTTGCTAATACCGCCTTTCCAGATCAATTGGCACCATTCCACAGTTGGTCCCGCCCTCCTGATTTTATCGTATATCTCTTGACAACAATATATTGGCTTAGATATGGCTGAAGCTAAAGCCGATCTTAATTGAAGGATACAACGCCAACTCCATGCCATAGTACCCTTGATTTCAAGCTGCATAATCCGATTTCCTCTACATTTTGCACAGTGAACCCATTTACTCCACAGGGAAGATGACGGACAATTTATGAGGTTTCAAAGCATGTGGCCAAGCAAAACTTTATTCCATAGTTTGAGATCAGGCAACCCTAGTCCTCCTTCCTTTTTTGGTGAGCAGACAACATTCCAAGCAACTTTGTGAGATCCATGGCCTTCTGTATTTCCAACCCATAAGAATTTTCTAATCTTCTTTTCAACTTCATATATAGTTTGCTTTGGCAGTAAAAACATTTGCATCCAAAAAGTACAGATGGAAATAAGTACCGATTTGGCCAATTGGAGACGACCGGCGTAGCTAATATGTTGCATGCCCCAGTCTTCTATTTTTTTTAAAGATTTTATCGGTTAGACTCTTACAATTTGCGTGCGTGAGTCGTCTTGTGACAAACGGGACTCCAAGGTATCTAATAGGAAGGGTGCCAGTGGGGAAAGGCGTGTGATCCAATATAATGTCCTTTTCTATCTCGGTTAGCCCAGAGAAAAAGATTTTGCATTTATCTGGATTGAACTGTAGTCCTGTGAGATTTGCAAAATCACCAAGTGCATCTACAAGGCAAATGACTGAATCGGGATCTCCGTGAGCAAAAAGAAACAGGTCATCTGCGAAGCATAAGTGAGTAATTTTTTCCTTTTTGCAGTGCCAATGATACTTGAAGGAAGATGCTGCAACTTTCTCAATGATGATCTTGTTAAGAATTTCCATAACCAAGACAAACAGGTAAGGAGAGAGTGGGTCACCTTGTCTTAGTCCATTTGATCTAGCAAAGTATCCAATCTGTTCGCCGTTGTGGTTTATCGAAAACCTTGGTGTAGTTATGCATTGGGCTATCAGGTCAAGCAAATGTTGCGGTGTGTTGATAGCCTGTAGAGCACCAAGAACTGCTTCCCATTTTACCATATCAAAAGCTTTCATGAGGTCAATTTTTACTGCCACATGAAATTGTATATTAATGTATCATGGATACTTGATTTACTATTAAATGAAGTCATCTGTCACTTGTGTCTTTAGTTTCCTGGACATCTTTCCTATGCTAATTCATCCAATTTGAACTAGCAGATTCTGGTATGCCTCCATATTTCGTATTGGATAAGCAATTTTAGATGCAGAAGCACCTATTTTTGGCTTAAAAGAATCAGAGCTTGAACTCCAATATGTTAGAAACCAAGTACCAAAGATCTCTCAAGAAAGACCAGAATTTATACAATCTAAAGCCCCGGTTACTCCCTTCAAAACAACAGCAAAAGAACTATGGTATTCATGAATAATAAAAAGATTAAGAAAATTAATTTTATCCATGAAGAGCATGCTAAAGATAGATAGATATATATTTATATATATAAAGTAGTGTGAGTTAAAAAGGATTAGACGGACCAATAAACAATGATTATTGGTTTTTTTCACTTATAACTTGTACTTATAGTTAAATAAAAGATATAGACTTGAATGAAAAAAATTGGGAATAGAAATTTTTTTGGTTGTACTAAACGCATTTCTGTTCTTTTTCTATTACAGGAATAGAAATTTTGTGCAATTACCAAACGCATTTATGTTCTTTTTCTATTCCAGGAATATAAATTTTTTGTAGTTACCAAACACATTCTTTTGCTCATAAACTCATCGAGGAAATAGAAATAGAAAAAAAAAACTATTTTTGAAAAGAAATTGTTCCCAGAAACAGAAACGTTACCAAACACGCCCTTATGTTTCCATTTTTTTCCCTTTTTCTTGAGTCCTAAAAGAAAAAATCTTTTCTAAAAACGTATTTTAGTTCCAATTTTTTGGTACACTAATGGAATCAGTTCCTCAGGTTTGTTTGGATGTCTGGTAAAGAAGACCAATTCAATTATCGAATAAAAAGAGGGCACTGAAAACATGTTTTTCATATATTAAAAGTTGCTTCTAAAATGAACATTTTCATAATATTTTCTCATTTATCGAGACAGTTATTTCTACGAATCATACATGACATTTTCAAGAAAAAAAAAATCTAAAAGCTTAAGATTTTTTTTGTTTATCATATTTTCAGTGAAAATAAAAACTAAAAACATTTTCACAAATTGAACTGGCCTTGATTGCTACTTCCACACCATTTGCATAGTCAAATGGCATCAAATCGGAGCGCTCCGTTCGTGCTTTCTTTTCTAAAAGAAATGGAATCTCTCTTTTTCCTCAAGTTGTAATTTGGATAGCGAAGCATAATGTTTTGCACCATACATTGACTGTGGAAAATCTCATTTTCATTTTCTCCGTGCATACGTCATATCGCATGATTGAGTACTCTACTAAACAGTTCAAGTTACATTTAACAAGATTTCATAAGCTACACCAGTCTTAGCAAAAGTAACTCTTTCAAATACGGTGTGAATTTGCTGATAGCACAAATGATCGATTAAATACGTAATTTCAATGAGTCTTGTGTACATGTTTTTCTCCTCCATATGTGGCAATTTCAGCTTTTGCATCGAATATCCCTTAGCTTGTGTTCTGAGCCTCAAGCCATTTTCTCTTTACTCCAATTATCAATCAATCATCCCATATGTGGGCCTCGTTGATTTAACACGCACATTGTCTCGTTTTCACCTTCTAACTATGGAGTTTGGATTCTTCTTTGTATATTTATTCTTCTTATAAGGAATCGATGATCACGACAGATTTAGAATAACTTGCAGTGAATGGCCCCAATAGAGAATTTAGTACTTATCTCATCTTACCCTCTTCTTCCACCTTTAGCTTTGGAATCTGAAACTTTATTCTTTTACTTTTCAAATGAGACACACTTTGAATTAAAGAAAAAAAAAAGGCTCACATAAAACTGTGTGGCTAAAAATTGGGAAGAGTTTCTTTCAAGACTGAATACTCCAGCAAAAAATGTCCTCCACCTTCTTCCTTGTCTTATTTTTTTTTCTTTTGAAATCTATTTTGAAAAGTTAATATGTGAAAGATAGAGGCCGAAAAAATTGAAAAACGAAGTTATTCGGATAGTCAAATAACTCATCATATGTTTAAATTTGAAAAAAAAAATCAAACTTTTTAAACGGAAAGCCAAACCAGCTCCTTTGAGCTACAAAATTGCGTCCAAGTAAAATTAGAGAAAGATCAATAGTTTTGGTGAAAGAGTGGATGGTTAGCAAACTGGAAACTTTTCAGGAGTTTTCACCTCACAGAGCAATACAGGGGCTGAAGAACAAAAGCAAAAGTTGCATTACCTAAGACTGAATTTCCAAGAGAAAAGGGAAAAACACTCTTACAACAATTCACGATGATAATAGGAAATGGGACACAAAAGACAAAGAAAATTTAAGATTAAAAAAAAATCTTTAGTCAAGTAGAGAAATAAGTACCGAGAATGAAGATTAATAGTTCGATTTGAAAAATCATATGGTAGATGTGTTGATCATGGCACTCATTGGTGGGATCGATATCTACTGTGAACCTCTTAACAAGTATTGCATCTTTTAAGTACTTTCTCTACCAACGGCTAAGCTCAATATTATATTGCAAAGTGATTTATCAAGCATGAAGTAATTGACTAGGCCGGTCTTGCATAAAATTACAATGGAAGATCTGTATCCTTTAAACGAGGAGATGTGTACTCAATATGGTATGTAGAATTTTTGGCGGGATCACTGCCAACTGTTCTAAAAGTTTAGTCTGGTCTTTTTTGCCCAGTACTAAGCGTAGACATATTTAATTGGGAAGTAAATGGGGCCTGTAAAGATTCGAACTCAGGACCTGCAGCTCTAATACCAAGTAGGATTTTTGGTGGGACCACTGCCAACTGTTCTAAAAGCTTACACTGTTAGATGAATGCGTGGTTTAAATATTGGTAAAAATATTCTATAAATAGGAGGGCTCTCAATTCAATTTGGGAAGAGTAGATGGAGAGTTTAAATTTTGTAGATTTTGCTATGAAGAAGTTCCTGATAATTAAAGAGCTTCAAAAATGCAAAAACCTATCGGATTCAGGTCATCACGACCCCAATCAAATTTTTTGTCATCAACACCTCAGCAACAAGTCGTCAAGAACTCACCAAATGTTCAGGTCATCAAGATCTCAACCATATTCAATTACAGAGCAAGCCTTCGAGGCCCTATCTGGTTCGTGAAGAGGAGTCAAAGATCATGCCATCTTATTAGAGATTAAGCCAATAGGCTCCTCAAATTGAGCTCATATCAATGTAACACCACATATTAATCTTACGCCTTCAAAAAGTATGATCTTTTTCTACAGAAATACAAAATATTGCCATTAGATAAATGCATCTTTTTCTCTTACATGACATCTCATATCATTGGAATACTATAAAAAATATGAAAAGACAATGTCTTTTTTTCCCGCTTTGCATTTTCCGGCAACCTAAAAAGCATTAGTTATTCCATCGTGAAAGCTCCATGCAAACATTGCCGTGATTCCTCTATCAAAGAATCTGATCTTTCGGTGGGCAAAATAAAATTCTTATCCTTTCCTTTACATGTTGTGGAATGTTAAGATGATACCTTCGGAATAATTCCTTCCTTCTTTTTTGCTATTGATAATCTGAACCTTATTAGAAACAAGCAACTTATATTTCCAATATTTTTTCTTTTTCTGAGTCCTAAAAGAAAAATCTTTTCTAAAAACGTATAGTAGTTCAGTTTTTGTTACACTAATCGAATCAGTTCCTCAGGTTTGTTTGGATGTTTGGTAAAGTTAGACCAATTCGATTATCCAATGAAGATCGCACTGTAAACAATTTTTTTTTCGTACATTAGAAGTTGCTTCTAAAAACAACATTTTCATAATATTTTCTCATATGTTGAGAACGTTTATTTCTATGGATCATACATGACATTTTATAAGAAAACAAAAAATCTAAAAGCACAAGATCATTTTTTGTTCATATTTTCAAGGAAAATAAAAACCGAAACACTTTCACGAATTGAATTGGCCTTGATTGCAACTTCCACACCATTTGCGCACCATTTGCGCAGTCAAATGGAATCAAATCGGAAGGTTTCGTGTGTGCTTTTTTTATAAAAGAATTGGAATCTTTCTTTTTTCCTCAAGTTGTAATTTGGATAGGGAAGCATGATATTTTGCACTGCACATCGACCGTCTAAAATCTCATTTCCATTTTCGCCATGCAAGCATCATGTCGCATGATTGAGTTCTCTATTGGACGGATTAAATTACATTTAACAAGACTTCATAAGCTACGCCTCTCTTAGCAAAAGTAACTCTTTGATACATGGTGGGAATTTGCTGATAGCACCAATGACTGATCAAATATGCAATTTCAATGAGTCTTGTATACATGTTATGCTTCTCCACATATAGCAATTTCAGCTTTGCATGGATATTCCTTAACATGGGTTCAGAGCCCCGAGCCGGTTACTTTTTGCTCCCAATTATCAATCAATCATTCCGTATGTGGACCTCATCGATAAAACGCGTACATTGCTTCGTTTTTACTGTCTAACTATGGAGTTTGGTTCTTCTCTGCATAATTATTCTCCTCACAAGGAATTGATGATCACGACAGATTTAGAATCACTTGTACTGAATGACCCCAATAGAGAATCTAGTACTTATCTCATGTGACCCTCTTCTTCCTCCATTAGCTTTGGAATATGAAACTTTATTCTTTACTTTTCAAAGGAGACACACTTTTAATTGGAAAAAAAAAGAAGAAGCTCACGTCCAACGTGTGTGTGGCCCTTGGCACAATATTCCTCTAGCGAAGTAGACAAGATCAAATTGGACAAGATAAGTGTACTTGTCATAAGAATAGGTATATCGGATTGGTTGCGCCACCTCGATGCACTTAATCAATGAGCTTTTCAAATGATTTGGATTTAAACATATATGAAACTGTTCATAAATCCTCATTTGGGAAGGGAGGTCTGCATAGAAAAGAAGTATCTATACATGAGAGATCATATATTCCATGGAACCTTAATTTACTAAAAAAGAGGGGTGGAGAAAAGAAGAGAAAAGAAAAAAGGAAAGACGAAAGGTGGGTTAATCATTCCCATCGTGAACAGTAAAAAGGCCAAATTATCCCTGATTAGTGCATGCTATTCAGTATATATAAGCGTTTCTCTAAATGGATTGATAGGCACCGAACTTTACTGTTGATCGACATCAAACATTACTGAACGAACAACATGTCAACTTGGGTGGCAAGCGGGAGGCAAGCCGACTTTGCGAAGGATTTTGGCGTAGTCGGCGATCCTAATGACAACAAAACCAACCCAAAAGTGATGGACAAGTCTCACATGGCAAGCCCTTCTCTCTCTCTCTCTCGATTCGATAATGGATATATATGAAAGATATGCTTGTTTGTGTTTAGAGTCGAGTACTTCGCGAAAAGTTCATAGAGCACTACCAGAGAAATGCCCAAATTCTTCTCTGCATCTGAACGTCCATACGTGTATATACATGTTGTGCGTGTCCTTTTTTCTACATTTGTCATGGAAGAGAGTAATTCACGTTCCAAAGAGATGTGGTTGTCGATTAATTCAACCTAGAGGGAATCGTCTTCTCTTTCTCTCTCTGTTTAACTAATTTCCTATATGTTTCCCGTCCGACCAGATAGGTATATACACGAATAGCGATGCATCGTACGATTACTCGAAAATGTCATTTCGAATGGGTCGATAGCAACTTTGCTAACAAAGTTCCTCCTCCTCCTCCTCCTCCTACTTTGACCTCCTCGCACGTACTGATTGATGTCTCTCTGCTCATATTTCAAAACTCTGTTTGTGGCAGGAAGATTCGACTGATGGCCCAGGCTTCATAATCTATGCTAGGGAACTCACCATCCTCCACAGTGATAAAAAAGAAAATTGGGTTTGGAAGTGGGACCGGTACTTACGAATCCTTAGAACAGCATATATGCGTATCTTTTATCATATGGTGCACCTTGCCTTACACCACGAGTCTAATTAGGCTTTTTCATATTTTAGTAAAGCATGAGTGACATCGGACAAATGGGAACCTATGAAAGATAAAGGAAGGCAATCCATGGGATTTCTCTAGGGAAAATCTAAATAAGGAAACCATAAAAGGACAGAAATTTGTTCGAGGGTGCCAATGCAAGTCCACACAATATTGATCTTTCTCTTCTCTCTTATAATTGATAATTCTTGGAATTATTCTTTTTGGTACAATGTTGTTGATGTTTCACCCTCTTGTGCTATATGGATAAATGGCTAGGGGATAAAGTTTGTTCTACTTGAACACATTAAATGTCCGCGTGATTTCATCGACTGAACTTGAGATATAGATTTTGACTTGCATCCTGGTGTGCACGGATCTAATCTTATCTATTTGCATAAATATTTCTTTGTTCTGAATGAGTTGAGAATTAACCATTGAAAAATAGTAATAGTAAACTCGAAAGTCATAAATTTAGGCTTGCATATACTCCATATATTAAAGTAATACGTTTATTATAGTCCCAAATCATTGAGTCATTACTTTACTCAAACCCAAATACTTTATCCGTCCTATTGGTTCCTATATATACTTTTAGGGTAGAGGTAAATCCGTAACTCTTCGATTAATTCCCACCATCTAGGGAAAACTGTATTAATATCCCTAGCAAAGCAGGAACCGTTCTTCGGTCTTGGTATCTAAATTTTCATTTTTGCCTTCATAAGGTCGCGATAGGCCAATTAAATTAAGAGCACAAGATGACATTAATGAATAAAAGTTCAGTTTCATCTTCAAACATTGCTGTCAAAGTTAGTGAGTTCATTATCTGCTAAGAACTATATACTATGACCTATTTGATTTGTTTAAAAATTAGAAAATCAAAATTTTTTAATCTCTCTAGTCTTTTTAAATTTTAATGGTACTATTTACTTCAATTTATGGTCATAATATTGTAGTTGTAGTGTTCTCTTTTGTCCTTTTCACTTAATTGATCAAATTTAACCGAGTTATAATTTATCAAATTGTAATCTACTTGAGCTTTTCCCATATTTTCTTCTTTTCATTATAATTTTTTTTTAATTTATGAGTTGATGATAAATAAGGAGAGAGTATGATGGGTTTCTAGGGGTAGTGGGCTTTACGGTGGTTGGGAAAAATACGGAGAGAGTAGAGATGCTATTTCGTCTTTGGTGAATAAATAAATAAATACACATACGCACATATATGTATAGTCAGCCAAATTAAGAATAATGATAAAGGAGGAAGAGGAGATTGAGAGGTAAATAGGAAGAAAAGCCCGTTGAGCTTCTTTAAGAATACGCATTATTCCATGAGATATCCTTGTATTTTTACGGAGTGATAGATACTGACTTAGCTGTTATTCCTATTTATCATTTGAAGTAAAATCATTTGCTTTGCTGTTCCAGTAATTCATAATTTCATAATAAATATACCTAATCAAAGTGTCCTCCAAGTTGACTTTTGTTTTAAATTTTTTTTGTCTAACCATAATTAATAAAAACAAGTCTCGTTAATGAATGTCCCGAGGCACTTGCTAGACGTACTTAGTATGGAATACTTTAATTTTTCTAAGTATTGATTACTCATAACAAAGAAAAAGAGTGTATGGAAAATTGCAAACTTACCTTCTTACGGTCAAGTTTATATATATACATATATATATATATATATTAATTTTCAATATGCTTTATACTTTTGTTCTCCGGTTACCCTTGACTTACAGAGTTTGTCTAATATAGATCTCTATATAGTTATAATAAAAAAATTTATCAGGTCTACTGTCAATGTAAAGAACTTTCCGTACATTCATAATTGTGCAACCGAATTTTATTTACACGTCACTCATCCAATTATGAAAAAAAAAATTTACACTTACAGTCAACGTAATAATTATCGTGATCAATAACGTTTAAATAAAACTACTTCAGCATTGGCCCCATATGGGTAGAAGTGGCAGAAATGGTGGCGGAGAAAGAGCTAGATGCCAGAGGGTCGTTTGAGACAAAGAAACTTAAGTGTGGGAAACGTACAAAGTCTCGTTTCTGCTGAAGATGACGGAAGACTGCACCATAAAGGGGGAGGAGGTGAAAGTGGAACTGACACTGTCTCTCCTGGGGATCGACGAAACGAAGCAGGCGCGGGAGCGGTTGCCCACATCGACAAATCGGTGGGAGGAACTGAAGGTCGGACAGTTTAAGATGACGGCGAAAAATATGGGCGTTGACGTTACCATGGAACAATCGTTCAAAAAACCGGAGAAAGGGCTCATCATCGGGGGCGTTGTGATCAAGCCCGTGCCTGAGCTGGAGTGATCACAAGCAGTTACATATGCAATAAGAGCAATTGCAGAGCAATTGCCTTCGCGGAAGTGACTATGGTGATATGTGTGTATGGTCGTGCATGCGTGTTTCGTGTGCGCTTTTCTTAACTAGTAATAGTAAATAAAAAACTTGATCACCATGTGTATGAATGTCTTTCTATTTCCGGACCCTGTTGTCTTATCTATGATAATTATCTGTCTATCTGCCTATCCTAGATTACTAATCATTCACGGGAAGTAAATCAAATTGTAACTCAAACACAGTTTGATTTAAACTTTTCCATCTTAATATGTAAAAGCCATTATTAATTACACACTTCACATTTAGTATCATAAAAAAAAAGGTAAAAAGAAAGGAGAAAGCGATAGTGTTTGGATCAATAGTTATCAAGAAACACCGTGCAAATTCGTTGGGTAAGATTCCAACATCACAATTTTTTGAGTTTTGTGGCTATTACGTCGGCTCTTGGAGAAGCAGAACCTTTGGTCAAGTACTGCAATTTTTCTAGAGAGACTCTGATAGAACCGTGTGCACATTTTGATCCATTGTCGAGTTATGATTTTTCTTTTCAGTCTGGGTCGAGTTATGGTTTTTTTTTTTTTTTTGGTCGGGAGAGTTATGGTTCAAAAGCCACTAATTTCATGCGATTTGACGTCACAGTTAGGGAGAAACGGGGTCGAAAGCGTCGAGCGCGCGGACTGCAACTCAAACCATGAACAGCCCACTTTGGACTGCGAATAGTCTATTTTCTGGGAGAAAGTATTCAATAATTGCAAAGTATCACGGGATATGCATTTTTGGCGAAATCCGATCATAAATTGACACATGGCAATGACATGGATAAATGTAAAAAAATTAAAAATCTATCTAGACCACACGCACCGCCCGCAGCCGTGGACCCCCGACAACCTGCCTCTGTTTTATTTTATTTATTTATGCTTTTTGAGCATCCAGTCTCCAGCAAGCATGAACCATCGACAAGCTGCCTCTATTGTATTTCTTGTTGCTTTTTGAGGCTATGGACAACAGCGTCACCAGCCATGGACGAGCCAATCTCGCAAGCGACTCTAATGCTCTTTAGTGGTGTGCAAAACGGACCATTTGGACCGAAAACTCGCCCAGACCGGAGCGAATTGGCCTATTTGGTCCACTTCTGGGAATGTCGGTTCGATTCCCGATTTCTAAAAGTGGAACCGGTGTCTAAGTGGTCCGGTTCCCGGTTCCATGGGGAAATCGGACCGGACCGACCATACATATATTTTAATTTTTTTTCAAAAAATTAATAAAATGTGAATTAAACCCTAAGTTCCGACCAAAAAAAAAACTAAACACTAAGTAAACTTCATCGACATAAATTCATTAACAAAAATTAGTAAAATGTGAACTAAATCTTATGCGAACTTCATTAACACAAATTCATTGACAAAACTTAGTAAAATGTGAACTAAACCCTAAGTGAACTTCATTGATAAAAATTAGTAAGATGTGAACTAAACCCTAAGTGTTTGATAAAAAAAACTAAACCTTAAGCGATTGGTTCCATTGGACCGGACCGGATCGGGAATCAATCGCCCTAACCCTCTCCATAGTGATAATTCGATCCATGTAGTTGTACGTGAAGACCACCTGGGAGAAAGTGCCCCACGCTTGGCCAAGGAACAACGAGCCCGACCCTGTCACCTTGCACCCCACGAACGAGAACCCGGTCTCCTCCAACAAGCTCTCTCTCTCTCTCTCTCTCTCTCTCTCTCTCTCTCTCTCTCTCTCTCTCTCTCTCTCTCTCTCTCTCTCTCTCTCTCTCTCCTTCTCTAGCACTGCTGCTGGCGATGGCATACGATGTCGCCCAGTAGAACGACAAGCCATTCCCCAATACGAAGTCCATGGACCCCTCGACGTAGCAGTCCCTAAAGGAATGTCTTCTGATAAGGTCGTAGACCGTGTCCTGTGACCTGATGAAACGGCATCCAACAAAGCCTATTGTGTCCGCAGAGAAGCGGAGCGCCGCCACCTGTTTTCCTAGTGCTCCTGACGCGGGCAATGTGTCGCGACTGTCCTCAAGGTTCTCTCGGACTTCGAGAAAGAGTTTAGAGGTATTGCCTTAAAAGGTCAGGCTAAATAGCCTTTCGATTTTGGCATGAGCTCTTTCAAGCCCTAATCTCACATGACATTTGGATTTCATTTTAAGTTCTTTTTAGTTTATGGGTCCTAAGAATTGTCACTAGCCATTTTGGGTAAGCTAGAATCCAAACAAGGCAACAGGAGTTCTTGCCTTGTTTCCTGTACAACCTGAAATTTTAATTTCAGGGACTTGATTATGCTAATGGTCTATTAGCGCCCTTCCAGTATTGCCAAATTGGTATGGTTGTTTATCTAAATGACCATTTATGAACTCTAAAGGTCTTAAAGCCGCTAAGTGATCATGCAAGGTACTTGTGGGAGTTTGTTATGATCCTAAGGGGTTAGCCTAATCATTCTAAAAAAAATGAACAAACAATTTATTAAAGTGCAGGAACAAAACACCCAAGTAATTGAAATGCTTCGAAAGTAAATGCGGGGATTGAAAATCCGATTAAAATCGGCCAAAGAATATTACATCGCCTTGTTCTTAGGCCTCGAGACATAAGCCCCCGTAAGCTTAACCCAACATGAGTCAGACAAAGAGAAAGAGAATTACATTGCCTTGTTCCAAGCCTCAAGATATGAACCCTTGGAAGCCTGAGATTATAGACTAAACCTATCTTAGGGGGGTAATGTGGAATATTAAAACCGAGAAATTAAGAAGTCCTGTATTTTTTCACTTGTCCTGATTCGAGGCATCAATCCGAACATAGGATACAAAGCGCGTACTTAGGTCGCTCCGAGTTTCCTCAAGGAGATAATGAGTCCACACCACCCATTCAATTATTATAGTGATGCCTAAGCTAAGTTAAGAATTACAATTCTCTTCTTTTTATGTTAAGTGGTATTTCTAACTGAACATTTTTTTTATTAGGTTAATACTACGAAAAACTCCAAATTAATACACTTGTGACAAATTTACCCCCAACTAATTTTGAAAATTAACAGAGGTTAAATTTGTCACAAATGTATCAGTTCAGGGTTTTACCCTCCGTTTGTCATAGGTGCATCAGTTTGTGACTTTTCATGGTATTAATCTAATTTAACAGAAACTAATAGAGAGTAAATTTGTCACAAATATAACGGTTTGAGATTTTTGGTGGTCAAAAAATTAGTTTATGGGACATTTATCACGGAATGTACTAGTTTAAGATTTTTTATGATTAAAAAAATAATTTGAGGTAAATTTATTATAGATGTACTAGTTTTGGATTTTTGTGGTAGTAACCCTTTTTTATTTTCAAGCCATGTTTATCATCACTGTTAGGCTTATCAATTGCCTAATCCTAGACCTATTAGCTAAGCTAGTTGGTTAAACTAGGCTAAGGTAAACTAAACTAATTTAACTAGACTAAACGTAATCAAAAACTATTGCTTCAGGCCACCACGGACTCTTGGCCACGTCCTCGGGGTGTTCAGTCGCCACCCCCGATCACCAACTTTCATTTAATCATTCACCACATGCACTCAATCAAAGCGATCAATTAAAAAGTTCACCAATCAAACAAGAGGATCAAGTTTAGGTTCGGGAATTTGTTCTCGCTCATGCGGTTCGATTGACCTGACCACCCCCTAATTAGACTAGGGGTTCATTAATCAAAGATAATGATCACTTGTGTATAGCAATGGGCTAAGACCCCTAACCTCTACCATGAATTAATATTCATGAATTAATAATTGCAATTAGGCCTATCAATCGTCTAATCGATCACATGCAAGCATAATTAAACATGCAACTAGGCCAAAAGGACTTGGGAAACAATCAATCAAGCAAGGACAAATGACCCAAGAAGGGGCACTTCTCTATTTTAATCCCCTCTTCTGACCAGTTTTTGTTTAATCAAATTGATTAGCCTGATGATGTCCAATTAAGGTGAAACCAACGCTAAATTAAAGCCTAAAGAGTGCAGTCCAATGTTCATTAAGACCATTTTCCAAGATTCGGACCCGAAATACCCGAAATTAGCTGAATTACCCGAATGACCTGGACACCGCCCTGATTACGATCCTATTTTCAAAAATACGGGAAAAATGGTAAAGAATCCAGAACGACACCAAATTCGACCAGAAACTAGCCTTCTGAGTGCTCTCCAAGTTTCGTTTTATGACCTTTCACAAAAGAGCCCTTAGAGTGTGACATTCCGAATTTCGGCCCATTTTTGGGATTTATAAAACGTGTAATTTGTCAGTGTGCTTATAGTAAAATCTCGCCCGAGAACTGATCACTCTCGGTTATTATTTTTAAATTAGAGATTTCGCTAGAATCGCACTCGATCGAATTTGACCGTTATTTAGACCCCGAACTTGGCAGTCGATTTTCGGAAGTTTCGGGACGAAATAAATTGGACGGTGTCGATATTGTTGTGGCCAGTGTTGAGATTGTCAGGAATGATGGAAAAAGGGGAGTTTTTGACCACGTGCGAATTTGGACTAGTAGACCTCCCTCGTTATGTTTTGATCTAATTAATTTGGCCTTTGTCCCTTTTTATGTGCGAGGCTTATTTTGGACCGGTAGACCACTTTCGATTTTTAATTTGGACCATCGGATTGCAAATAATATTTGAATGTTCAAATATTTTCTTTTATTTTCCCTCTCTCTCTCTTTCTCTCTCCTCTCTCCTCTGCCGCGCACGTTCCTTTTTCCCCATGCGTCC